CCAAAACCAAATGTATCCTTAACCTCGAATGCCTTCTTATATTTCTTTCTAAATTCCTCTTTTCTTCCAATTGCTTCTAAACTTTTCCAACTTTTTTCAAACTCTTTCAAGTTTTTCTTCCAACTTCTTTTGATACTTTCCAATAATTAATTAAAAATTATTTATGTGAATTTTTTATATCATTCTTATTTCAATTTTATTGATAATATTATTAAAACAACTGTACATAATGAGCACCATTTAACTTGTAAATGCATATATAACGAATATACAATGGCACCCAAGATTCAATGGTCGGAAACCCACTCTCGAAATTTAATGTGAAAGCTTACCCAAGTTCGAGAACTAACAGAGGCGAAGATGTTAACTCTTTGTTCATCTTTAGGTTGAGAAAAGTTACAACATTTTAATCGAATCAATAACATTAAATATGAATATACAACAATAATGCTTTTCATCTAACTTTATAATATAAAACCTCTCAGACACACACAAAGATGAATCTTTTTTTTTCGCTTTTAAATTTTTATACATTTGATTGAGTTAATTTTTTAAAGTATTGTTATTGTTTGATTATTTTTATTATCGTTGTTCAATTATTATTTTTCTTAATCAGATTAAAGTAATTAATTTGTATCACATTGATCATTTCTGGTATAAATGAATATCGATAATCCTCATGTCATTTTGTGAGATACATCTTAAGTTGTACTCATTTTTGCATTTAAAGTGCAATTTAACAAAAGGGGATGTAGCTCAGATGGTAGAGCGCTCTCTTAGCATGCGAGAGGTACGGGGATAGATACCCCGCATCTCCATAAAAATCTTTAAAACTTTGCTCATTTGAGATTTGAGATTCAACTTGATTTTTGTGGTATTGTATAATTTTAAAAAATATTTTAAGACAACATTAAATCAATTGTGTTAATTTGTGCCTCTCAAAGAACATTAATGAAATATATTTCTCACTATGTCCCACTATTTTTTTACATGACTTTATAATGATCTGACTTTGCTCATTTGAGATTCAACTAGGTTTTTCTCACTATGTCCCACTACTTTTTACATGAGTTTATGATAATCTGACTTTGATCATTTGAGACTCAAATAGGTTTTTGTTATATTGTATAATTTAAAAATATATTTTTTAAAAGGCAAGATTAAATCAATTATGTTAATTTTTGCTTCTCAAAGAATATTAATGAAATATATTTCTCACTACGTCCTACTATTTTTTACATGACTTTATGATGATCTGACTTTGGTCATTTGAGATTCAACTAGATTTTTGTTGTATTGTTTAATTTAAAAATATTTTTTTAAAGGCAACATTAAATCAATTGTGTTAATTTGTGCTTCTCAAAGAACATTAATGAAATATACTTCTCACTATGTCCCACTACTTTTTACATGACTTTATGATGATCTAACTTTGGAGATTTGAGATTCAACTAGGTTTTTGTTGTATTGGACTCCCTCCGTCCCAAAAAGTTTGTCTCATTTTGACTTAAGTGGTAAAATAAGGAGGGATATTTTAGTGTTGACTTTCCAAAAATACCCTTGATGTGATGGGTAAAAGTAGGATGTGATGGGTAGATTATTAGAAAAAATGTATGATGTAATAGGTAGGGTATGAAAAAGTAAGGGATAAAATTGGTTTTTTAATAGAAATGGGACGAACTTTAAGGGACGCAATATTTCGAAACGAGACAGACTTTTTGGGACGGACGGAGTATAATTTAAAAATATTTTTTTAAGGCAACATCAAATCAATTATGTTAATTTTTCTTCTCAAAGAACATTAATGAAATATATTTCTCACTATGTCCTACTATTGTTTACATGACTTTATGATTATCTGACTTTGCTCATTTGAGATTCAACTAGGTTTTTGTTTAGACCTTTGCAAACAAGGGTCGGCCTGTTCGGCTCGCCCAGCTCGCCCTTTAAAAAGGGCGGATATGGACAACCTCTAATACCCAAATGGGCGGGTTGGCCCAAGCCCGAATTGTATATGGGCGGATATGGAAGTTACTTTTAGCCCATATGGGCCAACAGGCCTGCCCATATTCATCAAATATATTTACTTTATTATTAATTACCTAGCCAATATAAATTTTAAAATTTTCTATAATTCATGTATAATAGTTTAATTCACTCACCTTTTTTAAACAAAAATCAATACTCTTTTAATGAATCAGTATGATGAGTTTATTAATTATGCAACAATATCTCTATTATGCTTTCTATATAAATGGTGATCGGTTATTTTATTTTAAATATAAAAAAGAGTTCAATGTTTTATTAAATTTTTTGTACAATGTACAAAAAAAATCTTGATGTTTTATCCAGGCCGGGCAGCCCGGTGGGCAGTCTAGCCCACAAAGATGGGCGGGTATGGGTAAAGAGTTTAGCCCATCAAATCCGGGCCGGGCAAGGCTCGCCCATGTAAATGGGCTAATAATTTATATCAAGCCCGGCCTTGATCCGGCCCGGATCCTTATTTGCACATGTCTATTTTTGTTGTATTGTATAATTTAAAAATATATTTTTTAAAAACAACATTAAATCAATTATGTTAATGTCTGCTTCTCAAAAAACATTAATGAAATATATTTCTCACTATGTCCCACTATTTTTTACATGACTTTATGATGATCTTAGTTTATTAATGCATATAAAACTAAGATTTAATTGTTCTATTCAATGCAAAGTA